CTGCTGTTGCTGCTGCTGCTGTTGCTGCTGCTGCTGCTGTTGCTGCTGCTGCTGCTGCTGCAGACGAACGACGAAGTGCCCCTTAAGACATGGTCGCTTTCCGCCTGCCCGTCCAACAGCCCGGGGCATCCGCAGCACCCTCAGCAGCCGCAGCAGCAGCAGCAGCAGCAGCAGCAGCAGCAGGGCCTTGCTGCTGCTGCTGCTCGCCCCCCTGCAGGCCTGGGGGACTCTGTGGATTTTGTGATTTGCATCGGAGGAGATGGGACAATGCTTTGGGGCTCTTCGCTCTTTCCAGAAAACGTGCCTCCCGTCATAGGTAGCTGCTGCTGCTGCTGCTGCTGCTGCTGGTGTTGCTGCTGCTGGCGTTGCTGTTGCTGCTGGCGCTGCTGTTGGTGGTGCTGTTCACGCTGTTGCTGTTGCTGGCGTTGCTGTCTTTGGTGCTGCTGTCGTTGCTGTTGCTAGTGTTGCTTTTGCTGCTGCTGTTTTTCCTGCTGTTGCTGTTGCTGCTGCTACTGGTGTTGCTGTTGTTGCTGCTGCTGGTCTTGCTTTTGTTGGTGCTGTTCGTGCTGTTGCTGCTGCTGGCGTTGCTTTTTTTGCTACTGTTGTCGCTGCTGTCTTTGCTGTTGCTTGTGTTGCTGCTGCTGCTGCATTTACTGCTGCTACTGTTGCTGTTGCTGCTGTTGCTGCTGCTGGCGTTGCTGTTGTTGGTGCTGTTAATGCTGTTGGTGTTGCTGGTGTTGCTGCTGCTGCTAGTGTTGTTGCCGCTGTTGCTGGTGGTGGTGGTGGTGCTGCTGCTGTCTTTGCTTATGCTGTTGTTGCTGCTGTTGCTGTTGTTGCTGCCGTTGCTGCTGCTGGCTTTGCTGCTGTTAGTGCAGTTGATGCTGCTGGTGCTGCTGGTGTTGCTGTTGTTGCTACTGTTGTTGCTGCTTTTGCTGTTGTTGCTGTTGTTGCTGTTGTTGCTGCTCTTGCTGTTGTTGCTGTTGTTGCAGCTGTTGCTGCTGCTGGTGTTGCTGTTGTTGGTGCTGTTGATGCGGTTGCTGCTTGTAGTATCGCTGTTGTTGCTACTGTTGCTGCTGCTTTTGGTGCTGCTGCTGCTGTTTTTGTTGCTGCTTTTGTGGCTGCTGTTGCTGCTGTCGTTGCTGTTGCTGCTGCTGGTTTTGCTGTTGTTGGTGCTGTTGATGCTGTTGCTGTTGCTGTTGCTGCTGTTACTGTTGCTGCTACTGTTGCTGCTGTTGATGCCCTTGCTGGTGTTGCTGTTGCTGCTGCTGTTTTTGCTCCTGCTGCTGTTGCTGTTGTTGCTGCTGTTGACGCTTGTGTTGCTAGTTTTGCTGGTTGTGGTGGCGCTGCTGTCCTGCTGCTGCTGGTGCTGATGCTGCTGCTTGCGGTGGTGCTGCTGCTGCTGTTGCTGCTGGAGATGCCACTGTTGCTGCTGTTGGCGCTACTGCTGTTTATGCTGCTGCCATTGTTATTGGCGCTGCTGCTGCTGCTATTGACTCTGCTGCTGCTGCTCGTCTTGGCGCTGCTGGTGTTGCTGCTTTGGTGGTGCTGTTGCTGCGTCGGGTGCCCTGCTGCTGCTGCTGTGGCAGCCTGAGCAGCAGCAGCAGCAGCAGCAGCAGCG